TTTGTGTGCAGAAAGTGGAGCTATGCTATTGGTGGTAACATGATGACGAGAAAAACAAGAGTAAATTAGTATAATGAAAAGCGTTCGTTGATACCTTTGGGATTAAGAGTGCCAAACGATCCATTTAAACTACTGATCCCTTCACACGCACCTCTGCCAATTTCACTTATTGCATAACTTGCACTTGCTGTAAAAAGATATACATTGGCGAAACAGGAAGACAACTGACTTTCTCTAACGAGTAAGGGAGACGACACCACACAGCACAACAGAGTTTTTAATAGATCCGATCCGATCCTCTCACGGTCCGCTGCCCTTCGTAGTGGAGACGATTCGATCACGCTTCCGTCTGTGTAGGCTCTAACTCTACGGTCTGGTTCCCAGGGGTAGGCAGGTGTCCGGATGCTTCTCTGATCGCATCAGATATGTCAGGAAAGTCTGATACTGAACACTCTTGAATCGCAGCAAAGGTAGTAGAAAGGTCTGTTACTGGACCATGTCTTACAAATGGTTCAGGGTTGTCATGGCTTGTTAAGGAAAGCGAGGGACGAGGACTATCCTTGGGAGGTCTTCGAGTCATTCTCCTGTTTCTCCGCACTTTGCCATGTGGGGTCTGTCATTAGAGGTTTTAAACTCGCGTGAATCGAACTGAGGGCCATTATCAGTGAAGAGGATCTCAGGAATCCCGTGTCTGCTGAAGATATTTTTTAGTTGTGAGACAGTCTGGCTAGTCTTCACACTTTTGGACACCAAGCAAACCTCTAAATTTCGAGAAAAGTAATCTACGGCAATGAGATAGGTTTTGTCTTTATGCTGGAAGAAGTCCACGCAAACTCTAACCCATGGTCGATTAGGAAACCCAGTGCCTTTCATTGGCTCTATGCGTTCTCTCCGGTACTTCTCGCAAATAGCACAGCTGCTCACAACCTTGCTGATGTCGATAGAGATTCCCGGCCATCAGGCTGACGAAGCAGCATTTGCGCGCGTCTTGGTTAAACCTTGGTGTCCATCATGTAGACGTATCAATACATCTAGCCTTAATTTGGGGGGAATAATAACTCGACGTCCTCTCAGAAGTAACCCATTGTAGAGGGAAAGAGTACCGCGTTCACTCCAGTACTTTGCCACAGGTCCAAAAACGCGGCGTTTTTCGTAAGGCCACCCGTTATGTACATACTGCATCACAAGTTTCAGGGTATTGTCACTGTTCAGCTCACGGCAGATCTCATCCAGTCGCTGATCCGACGCCGGTAACGTGACAAGTACTGCATTCACGTAGCCCTCTACTTCGGCGTGTAAATAATTCCATGACTTGAACGCATGGCCTTCGTTGTCCTGAGGAGATCTGGACAGTGAGTCGGCTGTGTACAAGGACTTACCAGGAACGTGTTCGATTGTAAAGTCGGATCTCATGAGTCTCATTCGGAGGCGTTGAATGCGCACTGGGAGCTCATCGATAAGCTTGGTGGAAAACAGCGGAATTAATGGCTTGTGATCTATTTGAACTTTAAATTTCATTCCGGCCAAAAAGTGTACCCAGTGTTCTAGTGCCCACGTGATAGCCAACGCCTCTTTTCCAGTTTGGGCATAGCGACATTCTGTTACGGTCATTGACGTAGTAGCGTAGGCAAATACCCTCAGTTCACCGGGTGGTTGCTTCTGCATAAGAACTGCGCCAAGTTTAAAACTACTTGCATCTGAGGAAACAGTTGCTTCCTTTTCTGGGTCACACAGTGCGAGTACATTCTCCGAAGCCATTTCTGTCTTCAGGCGTTTGAAGGCTTCTTGTTCGGCTGGGCCCCATACCCATGCATTCAGGCATTTTCCTTCTTCAGCAAGTCTCTTAGGGGCTTCGTTTTCTCCGCCAAATTGGGGCAAAATTTCATAAGATCATTGACTAGTCCTAAGAATCGTCTAACTTCTCCAATATCTTCGGGTCCTGTCATGTCCACAATGGCTTTGACCTTTGAGGGAGCATTCCTCACCCCCTGACTGTCGAGGATCTGGCCTAATTATTGCAGCCTGCTTTGCGAAAATAAACACTTCTCGAGGTTGGGCGTGAGTCCTCTCTCTACTAGTCTATCAAGAACTTTTCTAAGCCGCTCATCATGTTGGGCGTGGTCTATTCCTATGATTAGGATATCATCTATACGACACTTCACCCCCTCCATTCCTGACAGCTGTTTATCCATCCTCTTTTGGAAATATTCGGGGGACGATGATATTCCGAAGGGCAGACGCTTGAATCCGAAACGCCCGAAAGGTGTAATGAAGGTAGTTAGCTTAGCGCTCTGTGGGTTGAGGACTATTAAGTGATAGTCTGAATTGGCATCAAGCTTGGAGAATACTGATCCTTCTGTAAAGCTACCCAGTGTCTCTTCGACAGTATGCGCTTGATACATTTCACGACGAACTGTTTGGTTAAGCCTAGTAAGGTCTACAGATAGCCGAACATTCCCATTAGCCTTCGGCACCACCGCAATGGGTGAACACTAGTCGGTAGGCTCATCTAACGGCTCTATGACGTCAAGTTGGAGCATGCGTCGTAGTTCATCCTTTACTTTCTTCATGTGGGGTAATGGGACCCGCCTTGGGGTGGTCAGACAAAATGGTGTGACCTCATTCTTCAGACGAATAGTGTACTCACCCTCCAGTTTGTCAAGGCCTCGAAAGAGCATCGGGTACTGCTTCACAATGTTCTCCTTTACGTCAGGTC